CCAACTCTATCTCTGCAGATACTACATCCTACCCTAGCTCAACTCACAAAAGGCCTAGAAATCTGGCCAATATTTCATTGCTCAACACAACTGCCAACAAAGCAACTAAGACCATAGTAGACAGTGCATCTATACCAGTTAGAATACAAGTAGACAAAGAGACAATTACAAAATCTACCTACAGCCAAATTACCAAAACTAATCTCAAACTTCTTACTACCGATACTCCAGAAGATGACATGGAATAGGTTTCAGAAGTATACATTAAGATTACTACACCTATTAATGCTCCCTTTGACACAAATTTTGGTCATATAATGCAATTGCAAAAGCTCTCAAGACCCCAGAAGGCATTTATGACCTCATCAGCTACAAGTTAACTACTTACAACACGAAGCATAAGCTACCAGAGGCAATTGCCCGCAAGTTCACCTACCAGAATACTAGATTCTTCACCACCTTTATGTGTAACTTCAGGACCACCCCAGCTCATCAAAAAGAATATACAAACCTCTTTAATATTGCTCTTGTAGCATATAAAAAAGACAATAAGATTATACTTACCAATACTACAACCCGTAACACTATCCACTATATGCTTAGGAAGATGCTTATCTCACAGTATCTTTTCAATATCAACTTCTCCAAAACAATACACAGACAAATCTACAAAGCCATTCAATATGCAAGAGGATTTTTGCAAATCAAAAATACTAGTAAAGAAACCCTAAAAAGATTAAAGCCCAAATTACTAATACTCTTGAAAATAAGCTTATACCACTACCCAACACACCTGCACAATTCTCTAGCAAAATTCTGGAGATTTTGCCATTCAAACTCCCTATCACATGACAATTATACACTAGAGCTATAGTAAATACTCTAAGAAGAATCTTTAAATTCTCAGAACTCCCAAAGACATACTTTACAAAACTTTTTCCACTTCCTCACCACTATAATAGCCTCACAGCTAGCCTATGCCAACTATTTATAATCTCTCACTAATCCTCTCTTCAACACCTAGCTACATACAAAAGAAAAGCTGCAGACTTTTACACCACTACCAAAATTCCAGGTGCTTATTTTGACTTGCCACCTCTCAAAAAACCACTATCTACTACCTACCAAGAGCTCAACCACAAAGTGTGCAAGTTCTTTCTATTCAACCAAGCCACCTTTACTATTCTACTTGCTGAAGTTGTTTCTCAGTTTAGAGAATACTACACCTTTAAGCTGCCTCCTAATAACTTTTTTGCCACCAAACCTCTCCTTTCAAAGGATACAAGCAAGATCAAAACCACCTCTCTATTCAACTACCCTATCATCGAGGATGCTGAGACAAGAGAGTTTGTCAAACAAGTCTCTCCTTACTACAGAATCTCATTTCCAACTCTAGCAGAAATCATACAAGTCAACCCAATCAATAAACCCACTCTGCCAACTGCAGAAGAAATTACAGAACACTTTAATATTTCTTTCTCTATTACAATTCCACAGCAACTTACAACTATAGTCAAACTCCTCCATAAATACTACTACTTTGTCTAGCTTTTACCTAAATAGATCCAAATTGAGAGTAGCTTCTCCACCTCAGTAGAAAAAACCAACTCAGCCATAAAGCAAGCCCTTCCCAATATCCCTAACAATATAGAGAAAATTATTAATACTCTCTCTAAACTAGAAATTATCATTTTACTCCTAATACAAAACCAATTAAACATTACCCTCACAATGAAAATCCTAAGACAATTCTACACAATTAAGAAAATTTTCAACTCTCTACTAGATCTTCCTCCACTCCCTACCCCAAGTTGGAGTATCTTTAACAGTATATCTATGATTTTACGCCCAAATACCCCTAGTATAGTCATGACTTATACCAGTATTGTACCAATACCAGAGGACCCCATATATGACCCAGTACTCACAGAAAAGCCTAATACCACAGTAGCAGGTGTCTCTACTAAAAAAGCCTTACCTACTGACAATAACACTCTTCCACTAGACAAACCAATACCAATAGATACTAATAAACACTCTAATGAGTAATTTCTATAATATATACACCTTTACAACCTTTCAACCTAATACAAACAATA